ACTCCAAAACACCAGACACTGCTGTCAAGTCCATGGAGACTCAGTCACCGTACAGGACAGGGGAGATTGGCCCCTGTGAGTTTCTGAGATGGGAACTCTTCACAGGAGCAGTGTGGACAAGGGGCCTCCTCAGTCTCCTGCAGGGTGACTGCTGGTTTCCAACTGCCAGCCTTGTGACGAGCAGCCCAACATGAGAGCACAGCGCCCCCAGGAACATTACCAACAGGTCCCTGTTTCCTGCAAGGCAACAAAGCTTAAATGTTACTTTGGAAAGGTATTCCCTAGTTACCTAAAATAGAGCAGCCAATCAGTTGCCCTGTAGAATACTATCCTATTTAATTCTCTGTCCACTGTGTATTATAATTAATATTGATTGTTTAATTGATTGGCTGTTTTCATCCACCGGAAAGGACAGATTATCTGCTGTCCCCGGACCATTTATTTTCTCTCAGCCTATCCCTTTGAGAGCCCTGCCCAACAAAGAGAGAGAGAATGTGACAATTCTGCCTCTCCTGTTGATGACATCTCGCATCGCCAAGATTCACTTTCACTTATTAAAGGTATTAGCATTTGCTTCATGGTCTGCCCCTGTTCCCAACATCCATCAACACTCTCCATGATCCCCCGAGGTGACCCATCCAACACATTGGCCTCTCAGCGTCTGAGCACATCACCTTCGGTAAATCTTTATATCATTCTGCCTGAGTCATCCACTCACTGTATGGTCACTCCAGGACTGGCTTAGCTTATTCAAAATTCTTCTTCCTTTAACCTTATGTCCACCTCTTCACCCAAATCCAACGATGCCCTACTCTTCCAGCACAGTGGCTCAACCCCAGCCTCCAAACAAATTAGAAATTAGTATTCCAAACCCTAAGACCCTCACCTTATTTGTATGTATCAACCTGATTCCTTCCTAATTATCCATTTACTTTCCTTGGTTTATTGTTATTAACATCTTTCTCAATGACCACTTCTTTCCCCTTCTGTCGTACTTGCCTGGAAAAACCCACAACCCCAGATAAACCACAATATATTGATCATCACCAACCTCAAGCTGACACACAGGACAACCCAATCATTCTGTGCATTTCTCCAGAGGACCAGCTATCTCCCATCCCTACCTGATCCCCCCAACCTTGGCTCTCAGCCCATAAAGATGAGCCATCAGATGAGAGCTCTTCCTGTCCCATGGCATCCCTCTCGCGTCTTCCTTCCTGTCCCAGGGGACAAATTTCTTCTCTTCTCTCAAAATTCAGTCCATACTAGCATAGTCTAGATTTCCTTCACCACTGTTTTATTGCAGACCTGGTTTCTACAGTGCCCACCTTTCGCTTTGGCATCATAAATTTCCCTTTCTATTCAGCATAAAATAACAACATAAAACTACATTTTATATCTCTTAACTTAATCAGTTAATCCCACCCAAGGACACCAGGCCCTTACCAGCTACTCTCCCATTTCTCTGTTCCTGTTTGCTACTAAACGCCTCAAAATAATTGTCTATACGTGTCTCTAATTCCTCATTCCTAACTCCTCCACTCACACCAGTATGAATTATGCTACCATCATTTATTTGAAGTTTCTCTCATTAAGGTCACCAATGACCTACAAATTATGTGATGTCAAATATAATGAGCACTTTTTCTATTCATATTTATATACATATTTATTAACTGTATCTTTATGATAAGCACTCTAAACAACTTTTGGACAACAAGTACACGTCCTCCCGAGGAGCTTACATCAGTGAGGCAGATGCCCAAGCAACAAGTATAACAGAGTGGTAGAAAATTCCTGTTGCCTTCAGATAGGTAACAAAGACCAAAATCTGAGGGTAAATAGGAACTAGGTGCCTCTCAGCATAATCTCCTTTCTCAAAAGGACCAGCTATCTCCAGTATAACTTGGTGAAAGGTGCATAGTTGACCATCTCACCTCTCCCCACTTCTGTGTCCCCTGAGGCCTGGGAGGGAAGGGAAAGGGGAATGCGGGCATCCAGAGTACTGGTCCTTGTGAGTAGCGCATATGAACAGGAGGTGGCTTCCTCTTGGCTTTTGAAACCAGCTTCTCCCTCAAAGAGAAAGGAGATGAGGCCTCTCAAAGCCTCTGCCAGGGAGACTGGCGGTGGCTTCAAGGGGCCGGGGAAACTCACCCCTAGAAGAGCTAGCTGGCTGGGATGCAGAAGCTTGGGGATCAGCCTCGACCTGCCAAGGGAGTGCCAGAGAACACTGATGTTTGTGAATATGAAGAATGTCTGATTCCTCTCTGGTATCTATCTCGGAAGCATGGGGGCTGGCAAAGAACCTACCTCAGTGGGGTTAAGTGAGAGAGGCCCACATTGATCAGTTACAAAATGGCAACTTCAGCATAAGGATGCTTTTCCATGGGGAGAAAGAAAACAAATCATTGTAAACACATCTGGTTTATAGGCTGGACTGAGGAGTAAAAGGGAAAGAAGTTTTTCCAAGCAGATTGATGAATTTATGGTGTGGGACTTCAGGGTCTTGTGGAGAGGATCTTAGAAACCAAAGCATCTTGAGATCTTTAGTTAACAACCCGCTTATAGACAGAGTGCAAGGCCTCTGTTGAAATGGAGGAAAGGCCGTGCTCACAAAGGGAGCCTGGGATACCAACCGCATTGGGCTACTGATGGCCAGGTCAGCAGCTGGATACCAGCAGCTGCTCCCCGGGCAAAAGAGGTGTTCTACTCCAGTACTGAGTTAACAGGCTCAGAAACCAAAAGAGGTGGTTGCACCCTGACCCTGGGTCACTACGAGTCAGAACAGACTCGATAGCAGGGAGTGATCTAGTTCACAGGTCTGATTCAGGTTCCCCCTGCACCTAGGGCCTAAAACATACCTGCAATCAGTATTGTTTTGAGGTTTCTAAAGTCTACCAAGCGTGCTGTCACATGGGTTCTCCCAAACCTCTGATAGCAGACTTTATTTGAATGTCCACTGATAGAAGTATAGGCACTACTCACTAGTGTTCCAAGGTGTCATCTTAAAGACTCAATGGCAATATAACTTCACCTGGGGGCAATATAACAGCATCCTGGAAGGTAACCCGAGGGCCAAAATAAAGGTCCACGATTTGAAAATTTAGGGGCTTCGTTTTAATGTTCTAAGCAATGTCTTGCTGCTTTTTAGCACGGTGAAACAAGGTGCGGTGTGGGAGGAGAGACGGAGAGAAAGAAAGGAGACTGTTTAAATAGGAGACTATACTACACTCGGAGTGGCTGCTTTTAAAAAGCAAGACCAGAGAATATATATATGTATTTTAACATTTTCATTATGACTTCCTAAAAAGGAAGAGGGCAGAGGAAAGAGGAAGTGGAAAGCAGATCATGTAGAGACTCAGACAGATCATTGAAACAAGGAAAAACTCTAGATACACTAGTAGAGTCCTAGTGTGCAATGTTCACGTACTACAGCTTTGGGGGAAGTCCATATGGAGACATCTGAAGCCGGGAGATGTTTTGTTCATTAACAGATCTATTTTTGCTACTTTGTCTGGTTGGTTGGTTGGTGTGTTTTTCATCGCCTGGAACTATAGGCACAAATAGGATGGTCGCATTTTGGTTCCTTGCACCAAATGTAATTAAAAGCAGCATAGAGTAGAACTGATCAACGGAGAGCAAGTTGAAAATGATGACAGCCAAGTAGAACATGAGGAAGAAAGGATGCCAAGAAAGGAGATAGGAGATGAGGGGAGGGTGGGAAAGCCTCCATTTAAGGAATCAAATTAGCCAGATCCACTCAGATGACTAAGTTGTAAATCTGCTCATTCTTTCAAGGGAAAGGAAACCCAAAATTCCATTCTAGGGTCATTGGCACCTTTGACTGGCAGTGCCACTAGGTCTTCTATATGAATTTCTGCCTAGGGCCAGGTCCTGTTACAACTAGGGACACATTTAGACAAAGATGGAGTGAAACCATCAAATCATTAGTCAGCACACCGTCCCCTAGTCCAGGAAGGCTTTGTCTGTTGTTGCTAGCTGCTGTCAAATTGGCCCCAACTCACGGCAACTCCATGCACAATGCAACAATGCAAGGAAGCATTGCATGGTCCTGCGCCATTCCTGTGAGCACCTGTGTATTCAACATGATTATAGGCCTGTCTTCTTGATCAGTCTTAGTCGAGAAGCTTTGCTGAAATCTACTCAGCATCACAACACGCAAGCCTCCTCGAACGGAGAGGTGGGAGCTGCACACCAAGTTCACTGGCCAGGAGTCAAGCCCAGGTCTCCTGCAGGGAAGGTGGGAATTCTGCCACTGAACCACAAATGCCTCCAACCATAGGTACTGTCTAGTCGAGCCTGGCTCATGGAGCTCTGTGCGTGTCAGAGGGGACTGTGCTGCACAGGGTGTTCGGTGGCTGCTTTCTCAGCAATACATGGCCAGGCCTTTGGATGGACCTTTCAATTAGCAGTGGGATGTGTTAACTGTTTACCCCACCAAAAGGCTTCATTATAAAAAGCCTATAAAGGGAATTAAAACTGAACTAAATTATTGCGTGGTTTTATGTGCATTCAGACATTAGGATAAGTTCTTCTTGGGAGGGGGGAAAATTAAGTTTCTGCTTCCCATGAAGCCCACTGCAAATCTTTTATTTTAAACTACATAGAGCATCCGGGGCACTCTAAATGTCCCTTAAATGGAGATTATCACATTACACTATGTAATTTTATTGCTGTCACACTTGTTTATTGTCTGTCTCCTTACCACTGGATATTAGCCCAATATATATACAGAAACTACCTATTAGGTGCACTGGTGAATCCAAAGTGAACCGGACAGTGACTCCCGCATACCATACATTCCATATATATATTTGCTCAATGATTGAAGAGTAGCTATGTGATCCCCCAGCCTCAATTCCATCCAGAGTCAGGTTGAGGCATGAGTTGAAAATGGATTGACTAGGAGCACATAGAGCCGGAGATAAGAACAGATCTCAGAAAAGACTTCTTATATAGAAATGAAAATTAGAATATGACATGTTTTAGCAAATGTTTATTTATATCAAAATACAAAACATTTCTGAAGCAGAGTAATGTTACATGAGAAGCAATTAAACACTAAACTTCTCTCAATTGGTCTAACTTGCAACACTTCCAGGGGCCTTCATCGACCATATCACTAGTCCTCTGAGTTGCCTTTTTACTGTGTTTGCTTATTTTAATGTTCAATTCAGGATGGATATGGAGTGTCACTGGTGATGAATTGGTTAGTACTCAGCAAGCCTGAAAATGCCAGCGAGTGGAGCCTGGCATGACAGCCTGGGTACGAAGCAGGCTGCATATTGGCTCCCTAATTGATTGAAGTGAGGGTGTCATTTAGTTTGTCAACTGGCAAGAGTCAAAGGCCAAAGGAGCCACTACTCTCCATAGCCAGGGCAGGCATTATTGCTTCGTGGTCATCTCTGTGGACTGAGAGAAAGGGGCAGGTCAGTCCATAGCAGTCCACCTGGAGTGATGGCAGCTAGAGCAGGCCTGGACCCAAGAACGGGGAGCCCAGGGACCTGCAAGAGGAGCCCTCTCCCCTAAGAAACCAAGAAAGCTTGGGTAGGAGAAAAGGCCCTTGCTAGTCTGCAAGCCTGTGATTTGATAGTGGGAGGTACCCGCCCCTTGGAAGGGCCTTTTGTAAATCCTTAAGAGTTTGGATAGTTTGAGGGAAAAGCACCTGGTTGAGAGTGTAGCTGTTTCCAGTGCGTCTCCATTCCCTGGTAGAGAAAAGGGAGGGAGACAGAACACAGGGGAGCAAGCACTCTCCCCATCCCACTCCATCCACTCCCCGAGCCAACGTGGACCTCCCTTTCAGGGCCCAGTTCATGGATTCACTTTGGCATTGGTACCTTTAAGCACGCCTACACGTGTGCACACACATATGCGTGCACACGCATCAACCCCCACACATAAACATGGATGTGCGCACACACGCCTGGTTTCCTTTCACACTTGACTTAGGAACTAGAATGGTGGCCCACATGCTCACCACCACCACCCCATCTGCTCCAAGGCTTCCCCTTGGCTCACAGGTGCCCAAGACCCAGCCTCAGGCTTGGCACAGCTGGCATTCCCAGGCTGTTGAGAACAGGGTGAGAGAGCAGGAAGCTCAACAGAGACAGAGTATACAGAGTATAGAACACGTTCATATAAGGCTTTGGTACAGCACCAATTTAACGTTCCTAAAGTTTATATTTCTAAGTTGTCTTTTGGAAGAAAAAAAATGCTTACTGAAAAAATAGCGTTTTTATTTACTTTTGAGTTACATACCTGAAGATTAAAAACTAAGCTTCTAGTTGCCATTCATATTCCCACTCCGTGGTGTTCTTCTATGTGCAGCTGTACAATTTGTTGGTCTGTCTTTAATGTTGAACCAAAGCCGGCCAACCACCCCCACGAAGCCAGCTTCCCATTACAAGTGATTTGAACCGGCCCGTACACACGAAGAGAACACAGAACCACCCCTAAATTTCCCACCCCAAACCCCTAGGGAGAAAAAAATTAAATAGAAGACAAAAATACAGCAAGATTTAAGGAACCAGAAGAAGGAAGGCAATCGCAGTCCGACTGGTCTCTTCAAGAACAGCACCATTGAGCACCCTGGCGCAGTTACATTGTAATACTCAACATTCGAGAAATGGAAACGAGGTTCAAATGGTCTTCACCAGAACATCGTCTGGCATTGATGAGGGGTGGCCCCCAAAGAAAGTTAAGGAAGAGAAAAAATTTCGAAATGAGAGTAAGAAATCCCATGACGAAACTGATACTCACATCCAGACTTACCAGAAAAGACAGACTGATGTAAGAGGCCACTGGGTGCCGAGAGGTACTAAGTTCCTAAGGAGTCTTGGAAAGGCAGCATCGGAGTCCCTCCCAACCCACTGCCTGCTCATCCCCCGACCCTTCTGTGGGCTTAGAAACCACAGGGTGAAACGAGGGAAAGAAGTTCATATAAAAATTGCCCCCATGTGTGCAGTGGAAGAATTACATCCAGAATGATAAAGTCTTTCCTGGGGGAGGAAAACTGTTGACGAAAAAGGGGACCAGACGTGGTGGGCATGAAGGAGGATGTGCCCCTTTCAATTAGGCTTGGGAAAAGAAGGAGTCAATGGCGATAGCAGCACCCATCTACGCCCTTGGTCGTTTGGCCCATGAATCATAGCTAGGAAAATAAGTCTGGATGGAATAGTAGTTGAGAAATGAGGTCCGGGTGGAATTGTAGTTAGGAAATTAAGTCTATTTTCAACATTGGATACATCCAGAGATACAGAAATATATTTATCCATGTAACTTGATGAATAGCAATTTAATTTGCTATTCCTCCCTCCAGTGATCAAGATAATTCCATAAAATACCCATCCCCAGTCCCTAGACACAGTAGTCATTTCCCGGACAATACTCCAACACTGTAGTCAATCCCTTACCTACAAGAAAAGTGCTGCGTCGATCTCCTGTCCCTCCCACTCTTAACGTCTACATTTCCCCAAGGGGCTCTACATGACCAGCTAAGCAGAGAGCAGAGGTAGAGCCTCAACAACAACAAAAAACAAAACCAAGGAGCAATCAAACTCCTGGTTGGTGATAAAAAGTAATCACGTGGGCCCACACTGAGTCTTGAGAGAGGAATTCCCAGTTGATTTGTCTACTCCCAAATCTTATTTTTTATATAGGTGGGGAAAAGTAGCAAAACTATAACAAAGCTATAGAGCCCCTATCTCCTACCAAAGGGTAAAAGCACCAACGTTCAATATTCCTTCTACCAAATGTAACATACCAAAGGGGCGTGTTCCAATCACAGGACAGAGTCTTCATCCCTGGTCGTGACAATCCATTCCACTAACTGAAAGGTTACATAAGACAGGAAATTTTGCTTGTTCCACCTACAATCAAATTTCAAACCACGTTGCCCCACATGCCTTTGGAAGTCCCTGGTCCTTTAGAGAAACTAGAAATTTATGTTGGGCTACCCCTCGAACATTCTAGCCACCATCACCTTTCTGAGCACTAACTCATGGCCAAGAAAAGAGGGAGCAGAAGTCCTTCCCAAACTCCAAAATTTCCAGGTGATGGATATGACCCTCATCTTACCTTTCCTCCCAAACGTGAAGCGTAGCCCACTGAGGAATTGGGTGGGTTTGTGGAGGTCAGCAATCCCTTTTGCTGAGGTTTCTAAGGCTGAAGCCTCGGGTTGGACGTAGAAGGAAAGGAGTTTGGGAGTAAATCTGGGACTACTGGGAATATTAGTCTCGAGGTGCCTATAGTGCTGGAGTAATCGATTCTGCTGGTTGTATGTGTGCCAGAGGGAGAAATAGGCTATGGAGACATGGGGGTGGGGGTGGGGTGACTCCAAGAGTCAAGAGTCAACAGTGCAATGAAGTAAACTCCTGCTTGTGTGGATGCTATGGTAGGTTAGAGGAAGTCACACACTGGGATAGGACATAGAATGTGAGCTTTATCATGCTCAACTTCTCTGAAGAATCTTATTGCATACTCCCCTGACCTCCTGAAGACACTCTGGAATGATCTGTCACCTGCCAAAATGGACAGTTCCACAGGAGTCTAGTGTTGAAGCCCCTCCAAGCTCATGTTCCACTGTGCCATTGAAAATGGGAAGCATTGTGAGCAACTGATCTTGGAGCCCTTCATGAGTGGCAGGATCCCATCAGGTTCATAGAAAGTGATGATCGGGAGTCAGATTTCAGCTCCACCCCAATCTACTCTTCCCAGAACACCCAAATATGTAAACAGAACCCTCCCCATTCATAAGACCTCTTAGCTCCTTTCAGGTTCAAATTCCCTAAGACAGTAACTCATGGGTGGTATCATATTTTCTTTGGGGAGGAGGATCAGTATTGCCTTTTTGTTCTAGTTCATGAGAAAGGATAGGGCAAGGAGATGGCAGCCAGGCACTCTCCTGGCTGCTTGCACCATCTGACCCTGCACCATCTGCCAACACATCCCTCGGAGCTCTTGGCAGGTAAGAGGAAATGGCTAGCACCCAGAAGACAGCTGCCAAGGCTTGCAAGGGCGTGGCCCCTCCAGTATATGTAAGGTCTGGAATTCTTAGGGTGGCACACAATGTTTCCTGCTCAAATATGCCAGAAACTCAGTGTCTGGGTGAAACTCTTCTAAAAGGTGGTGCAGTCCTATAAAAGGTACAGGCAAGACATCAGGAGAAACCTTCTACCCATCCTCAGGCTCCCAGCCATGCCTAACATTACCGCTTGGGTCTCCTCTCACAGATAGTGTCCCAGGACTGTGCCAGTTCCTCTCTGGTGGCATTTACTTTTCCAATTCACAAGAATAACTGAAAATGTGGCACAAAATGCTGCATGCCACCACACTTCTAGGAATCTGCAGCCGGGATCACTAGGCCAGATCTTTTCTGGGACTGAATTCCAGGTGGCGGCCTCACAAAATTCTCCCCAGACGTCTCCACCCCACACTATTCCTTCTAGGAGTTTCTTGGGTCAAGGTGCTACGGGCCAGCACAGGCATGACTGTTAGTCTCCAGCTAACATTCAGCCACTCCCTTTAGATGCTCTGGAGCGGGATTGCTTCAGAGCCACTGGATTCCACTCCAGAACAGCGTGGGGATGAATGGGCAGGCTCAACTCCCCATAATCTCAGTCAGTGAAAAACCTGTAGAGATCTAGTATCATCTCTAACAATGGACTCACTTGCCCTTTCTGCGAGTGTGTTATTTGTTCTCTCTCTCTCTCTTTCATTTCTATCCAAAAGCCCCAAAGGTTAGTCAAAGGATGAGAAGGGGAGGGAAGAGAAGGAAGGAAGAGACAGCAAGACATGAGCTAGTATCTCAGACCACCACAGGGATGGTAGCATTGCTCAAAGTATATGCATAGGTATAAAAATAAAGCAAACTATGACTTCATAGATAGATAGATAGATAGATACCAGGAAATAGACTAAATAAGTTTTCTTTATATGTGTGTGTGGAAATCTAGGGTCCCCATGTCTCTTGCCTGGATTTAATCTCTTGCCCTCCCATCTCCCACACCTGAAATGCCCCACTGTCTAGTCTACCAGTCACTGATATTACATCTGATCCTGCCTCCCCACCCACCCCCTTATATAATAAGTTCCCCTCTCTCCTTAAAATAGAACAAATTATATATATATATTTATATAATTTTATATACAATCTCCATAAAAATACACTAAAGATGGTATAATACTAATTTAACCCTCCTTTCAAAACAAACGTTATCTAGAAGACAGTCAACCAAAATGAGAATTTCCAAAGTTTCGTACTACTGAGGAAAACGGTGTGCTCCTACCAGTCTCTAAAATACACACACACAGCTTCCTGAACCCAGGAAATGAATACATGGCACAGACCCCTGGCTGTGGCTTAGAAACCAGGAGAAACCCCGATGACTAAGAGGGAAACATGAAGCAGTCCCATTTCTCTGACTCAGCCATAGACTGTCCACTCATGGCAGACCTTTTGTAGTGTCTTGTTTGTCATAAACATACAAAGAGAGAGACAGTTTCCCCCTCAAGGATAGCCAGAAGGTCACGAGGAGGTCTGTCCTCTTCATAAAAAAGAAATGTTTGCATCTGCCCTAAGCCAAAAGGAAGTGAAAAGCCTTTAAGCCCCCATCACCAATATGAGGTAAGGTAAGGCATTTGTCCCTTGCACCTATTTGAGAAACTTGCACATGACCCAAAAGCATGCTCATGGTATTTCTAAGGCTGACAATGCAATTCTCCCCACCCGAGTTCAACCCTTCTCCCCTCCCAGATTCTCTTCCCACCCAGCCACCTCCCATCAGAAACCATGCACAAGTTCAAGATTCCTAGAACCATAAAGAAAAGGGGGTGAGCAAGGAAAAGAGGCCAAGTTGGTGTGTATATGAGGGTGCCAGGGGGAGGGGAGGAGCAGCAGGATGGTGGTGGTGGTGGTGAGCTTGGCCTAATTCCTAAAACACATCTGGGCAACCCAGTGACAAGGAGAGGTGGACATGGTGGAGTACATTTCTCCAAGCCCTGAAAGAAAAACAGGCCCAGGTGACCATTCCTGTCACCATCTCTTGGGATGGGGAAAGTAGGTAACCAAACTGCCAGGACCAGGAACTGAGAGTTAGTGCTGATTTACTCTAAGCCCCGATCCAGCTCTCTAAGCCAATGGTACAAGAAGGACAACTATTTCAACATCCCTCTTCAAAATCCCTAACTATAACTACTGACCCATCACAGAAAAGGACAAGCAACTACTGATTGCTGTCCCACAAAGTATTTATCAATCTCAAGGCACCCTGCCTCCTCTTTCTATAATATATGGCAAAGCATTAATAATAGATGCATCAGTGCGTAATCCTTCCTTATCCTACACAGAAACCCGTTGGGGAATGAAGATGTCTTCACACTCGCTCTGTGGAGATCTATTCTATCAGCTTCAAAGAAGGGCATGAAAATGTTTTCTACTCTCTCAGCAGCCCAACATCCAACACTCAAAACATTCCATGGGGATGTTATATTTGCTCAAGTTATATTTTATTTTAAAGCACAGGCAGGAGGAAATATGATATTGGCCCAAAGTAGATCCATTACCATTTAGAATAAGGGGTGGTAATGGTCACCCCTAAGGAAATAGTAAGTTGGCAAGAGTGGCAAATTCCAATCTGGGTTTTGGTCCTAGGTTGACTGACTTCTTGCAAAGAAGGCATTTTTAATTCTGCCTCTTGATCTGAAAGGAGGTAACATTGGAGACACCAAGGCGAACAGAGTCTCTGATTTCTCCCTTCTACCACAACCACAGTCTAGTGGTTTCAACTAATCAAAAGAGAAGATGAGGTCAAAGCATCTAGGTATAAAACCACTTTGAAGCTTCTTAGCCTGAAGGAAGCTTAGCTCTTCAAGAAGAGAGGCTGTTTAATGCAGAAGTAAATCCCTCCTCTCCGTTGCTACCACCTTACAAACATTCTGAATGGAGAGTAGGAAAGGTAAGCTCACCGCTTCTGCTTGTGAGAAGCATCTCAGGAAGCCCATGAAATAAGTCCACCTCTTCCACTGACATAGAGCTGCTGATAGGATGAGGATCTCGAGACAAGCCTCCTAAATTGGGCCTAAAGAGCACCAAAAAGAAATGGATAACATAGATATACTTGTACATCCAAAGATGCCCATGTTCTGTTTGGGCACTTACGTGTTCCATGGTTAACTAGAAGAAGCAAGAAGGGGTGGCTCAGAAGCAAGATCTTTGCCAAGATCCCATCTAGGCCTATAGGCCAATACTCCACCACCGTAATAGTTTTCCAATGACTATGCCACCTCTAACTCGCAGCCCATCATACCCCAAATGATTTTCACTGCTGCCACTCTACATCTTGCCTCCACTCAAGAGCCATCACCTCTCACCTTTCTTGGGATGGTCTCACACTTGATACTTGTATCCTTAGGGGAAACTCGGTTATCATAAGCCTCAAAGAGAATGATAAAGCTTGATGTCCATGTTTTGAGGTTTATTGCCACATCCCAGCATCCCTGGTTGGTCCCTGCTCCATGACTGGTCTAACACTATATGCCCCTTAAAGCCTATATACATGTAGTAAAAGAATGTTCCCTTTCTCTAACTCCCCCTGCCCAAACATCCCTGGTCCCGGTAATGACCCCATTCAAATGGAGCTGGACATGAGACACCTCCCACTGCCCCCTCTCTATAGAAAGAAATACAGCCATAATGGGACATCACTCCTCCATCCTACTGGGCTCTCTCTTGCTATTTTGGAGAAGGTGCAGGCAGACCTGAGGTTACAGGGGGAGCAGTTATGGAGTATACTTGGTTGCTGCCCACATCCCTCTCCACCTCTACATTCCTCAGCCTCTACTTCCTTCCTACTGCTCCTGCAATCCCTGTGATGGCCAAAGCTCTTTTACATGCAAGCAAAGCAAGCCGAAGATGAACCATTAACTTTTCTTTGCCTATGTTTCTCTACGTGGGTATAAAATGTCCTTTATGTACAATTCTCCCCCAGCCCACCCCAACACCCCAAAAAATATTTTCTAACAAAATTGAAAGAAACAGCTCCAGCCACACACATTTCAGACCTGGATTCAAATCCAGCAGCATAGCAAAGAAGCCAGAAGACTCAGAAGTTTGTTTCTTCCCTAGAAAAGCCACTGTTTTTCAACCTTAGCAAAAGAAAAAAGAAAAGAAAAGGTCAAGAAATTCCTCATCTGACTGCTGCCCGGTTTCTTCTGCATGGAAAGGGCATAAGGATAAATAACTGAAAGGAGTTCAACTCTGGGTGTTTTAGCTCACAACTCAAACACAAAGAAAGAGAGCAGGGAAACTACTTGTAATTATTCACCCCAATTACCCCGGCGAGCCTCCCTCCGACAGAGTGAAGTGACCCCGGGCACTGTAAGCCTCCTCGGAGGCGGGTCCTGGTTCTGTTAGCCCTTTGGGCTGAATGAAGACACCCTTCCTGCGGAGAAAGTGGGATCCCAAACAACCTCTCATTCCCCGTCTCTCAAGGAAAGACGGAAGGAAGGGGGCAGGCTGCTCAGCAGGCAAGGCCTCCTTGGCCAGGCCCAGAGCCCCAGATGGCCCATTCTCATGGCTCCATTTCAAGTACAAAGCCAACTCAACACAGGGTGGTCAGCGGGTCTAGAAACCAGGTTGCTGCCTCTTCCTCATTGTTCATTTTCTTTCCCTAAACAATGGCAGTCTCAAACCCCCCTCAAAGGTCCTGGTCAGGTGTCTATCAGGACTCCTGAGACAGCCGCAGCTTCAAGTCCAGATACAGAAGGTGAGGGGTAGGTCTTCATCTGATTTCCTCCATGTTAAGGCTGCTGAACCAGAACACGGGAGGTTTGGAAGATACATTAGTCCTCCCACATGGTGGGGCGTGGGGTTCCTGGGGAGTGTAAGAGTGCCCACTGAGACTGTCCCAGCACAGCGCAAAGGATGCCTGATGCCGGAGAATGGGCACACCCCGTGAGAGACACCCTCCCAACCCATCTTCCCATGTGCACAAACCGCATTGACGGGAGTCTTCACGCCCATCCCACTGGAGAGGAGATCCTGTCCTGACAGTTCCCATTACAGTCCTCAATGGAAGCACTTAAAGTAGCTCCCAGGAGTGCAGGTGGGCCCTTGGCCTTCAGGAACACTAACACAAGACTTAAGGCCTCTTAGTAGGGAAAAAATGAGGCCAAGGCCGGTCTAAGAAGGTTGACGGTAGCTCCTTCGCCTCAAGGATGCCACAGCATAGCAGCCACCCGGTGGCCAGCAGAAAGCATCTGGTCTGATGTGCTCTGACAGAGGAAGGAGGAGGTGAGCAGCCCCTTTGTTAGCCTGGGAAAGAACTCACTGTGGCTCCTAGCGCTGCCAGTCTGCAGCACCTCACCCGCTTTCTGTGCAAGTGCGTCTTCCGCCCCATCTGTTCCTTTGTGTTTACCCTCAGACTTGGACTTCCAGGGAGGCTTGGTCTAATACATACCAGGGTCTAACAGCCTGACATTCCACAACTTTCATATTGCGGCCTGGGATCTGAGCAGGCCACCAGGTTTTCCTCTGGTCAAGAAAGCACAGCGGTAGGAGTCCAAACAGGCTATAAGCTGAGCCCATCTGAGATCCTGCTCCCATACTTCCGCTAGCTAGCCCTGGCCCTGGTAGTCCTGGGAGAGATGCTCAAGGGACTAATCTGTGGTGGTTCAAGGGCACAGATGGTCCTGCCTTCGGAATGACCCAACCATCACTCATCATGGCTGTGGGCACCTCAGGAGGGTGGCATGGGGCACCGTCCTGAAGGCCCTGTCTCAGAGTGACCAGGCCACCCAGATGATGAGGGCAGAAACTCCGCCCCTTGTCATGCCTCCCCCACAGTATGTCTCACTTAGAAGTGAACTGTGTTCATGGGAACCGCCCTGGCTGAATCTCAAGGGGTGGTATTGGTCTCTGTTCAGTGGACAAGATGCAGGAAGCACAGGCAGGCCTCTGGCAGAGATGGAACGGACTGTTCAGCGGGATGCCTAGGAAAGGGTCACGTCCCGGCAGCGGCCATCCTGCTTAAGTCTTTGGGCGAGTTGTTAATGAGTGCA